AGTCTAGGATATCGTCAAATTACCTGAATCATGTAAAAGAGTTGGGTATAAATAGGTCTTTAAGATCAAGCACAATTCTAATGGTAATATCGAAAGATATAAAGCTAAACTTGTTGCCAAAAGTTTTACTCAGAAAACGGCATTGATTATAAGGAGACATTTCGCCAATCTCCAAGAAAGATTCACTTAGAATTATAATAGCTTTAGTAGTTCATTATGACTTAGAGCTACATCAAATGGATGTGAAGACCGCCTTTCTAAATGGAATTTAGATGAAAAAGTTTATATGGATCAGTCTGATGGTTTTTCAGTTGAAGGAAAGGAACACATGGTGTATAAATTAAAGAAATTAATATACGGACTTAAACAAGCTTCCCGTCAATGGTATCTTAAGTTCAACGATACCATTATATCCTTTGAATTAAAATAAAACATCGTTGATCGATGTATATATCCAAAGATCAATGGGAGCACGTTTATATTTTTAATTCTGTATACTAATGACANGGCAACATATGTGATTGGAATTGAAATATTCCGAAATAAGTCACAAGGATTGTTAGGGTTGTCTCAGAAATCATATATCAATAAAGTTTTAGAGAGATTTAAGATGGAAAATTGTTCATCGAGTGTCGTTCCAATTCAAAAGGAGATAAATTTAGTCTCATGCAATATCTTAAAAATGAATTGGAACGTAAACAAATGACAGCTATTCCTTATGCATCTATTCCTTATGCATCTATTGTGGGGAGTTTAATGTATGCACATACTTGCTCTAAACCAGACATTAGTTTTGCTGTCAGAATGTTGGGCAGATATCAAAGTAACCCAGGACTTGATCATCGGAAAGCTGCAAAGAAAGTATTAAAATAATTTCGTTTATAGAAGATCTGATAATTTGGAGGTCATTGGATATTCAAATTCAGACTTTGCTGGATGTGTGGTTACTAGAAAGTCCACATTTGGCTATCTATTCCTCTTAGCTGGAGGGGCTATATCATGGAAAAGTGCAAAGCAGTCGGTCATTGCTGTATTCACTATAGAAGCTGAGTTTGTGGCATGCTTTGAGGGCACGGTTCAAGGAAATTGGCCGCGAAACTTTATTTCAGGGCTTGGAATTGTCGACAGTATTGCTAACTCACTGAAACTTTATTGTGACAATTCTGCAGCTGTCTTCTTTTCAAAAAACGACAAGTACTCTAAAGGTACTAAACACATGGAATTGAAGTACTTTGTCATTAAAGAATAAGTTCACAAAACAAAAGGTGTCAATTGAGCATATTAGCACCAATCTTATGATTGCAGATCCACTGACAAAAGGATTGCCACCAAAGACATTTAATGAACATGTCAAAAGAATGGACATTACTGGAAATAATTATTGACATTATGAAATTTATGTAATTGACACTTTGAGCTCATTTATGTATTGTTTTTGACAAAATATTATTCCTGTCATAATAGTTGGTATATGTACATGAATGGATTATATGAATGATGACAGGGACAATCTTTTCGAAGA